CTTCAGGGAAATTAAGGTATGAAAGAATGCCTTTAGGAAACATATTTTTTGTTTTGTTTTGTTTTTTTTTTTTTGCGGTACGCGGGCCTCTCACTGCTGTGGCCTCTCCCGTTGCGGAGCACAGGCTCCGGACGCGCAGTCTCAGCGGCCATGGCTCACGGGCCCAGCCGTTCCGCGGCATGTGGGATCTTCCCGGACCGGGGCACGAACCCGTGTCCCCTGTATTGGCAGGCGGACTCTCAACCACTGCGCCACCAGGGAAGCCCAGGAAACATATGTTTTATATGCATATAATTTAAAGTTGAGAGAAGTAAATTACTGTATCAGGTTTAAATTTGACTTTATATAAGCAGAAAATTCAGAAAACAGTAGCTTAAACAAAATGGAGGTAACCTCTAGTCTCTGCTATAGTTACTATAATTTTATAGAACGGGATTTTGAAATATATGGATAATCAGATTTAATACTTATAACAAAATGCAGGCCTAGCTCAAAATATCTATGAAAAATTATCTTTCTAATTAGTAAAAGTCACATTGTCCCAAGTTTTATGTAGAGAATCATTGACTTCACATTGCTCAGTATTATCCAGACTAATTCTTAATTTTAAGTTTATATTTTGAAAATAAATAGATCCCTTTCAACTTGAGAAGTATAGCATGATTAACTTCCCACCTGGGAAAGAAAAACTATTTTGGGGGTCATGTTTATCCTATCATTATCAACTATGTTACCATTTGATTTTTAAATATTGAGGTAAACCATTAATTTGTTTTTGGAACAATCCTTCTATTTTCATTTAAGTCACTTGTGGCTGATAGGAAATAACATTTCCAATGGAAATAATGCTTCAATTTCAATACCTTTTTAAAGCCAAAGATAAAACAAGGTTCAGTATATATTTTCATATGGTAACTTTATAATCACAGTGATGTGTTTTCTTAATCTCTCCTCTATTCCCATAACATTATTTTAAACCAGGTGGCATAATCTGACTCTAATATGGTTATTCGGTATTTGTGTTACTACCTCCTACAATACTGTAAACTTTTGGAGGGAAGAAACTCATCTCTGACCTCCCAAATCTTGAAGCTCTGTTATACTTGGAACCATTTGAGGTAACTCATCCATCCCCTTCTCTGAGAAAAGAACCCCAGCTACTGTCCCCTAAGCACAAGAGTGAGCTGACAAAGTCATGTTTATATGATGGGATGCCCAGTCCTGACATTACCTGATTCGACTAAGTGTGCTCTCCTGATTCACATTAGACAGTCAGACTCAGTCTCTTAGAAAGAAATTTGGCCTCTCCCACAGCAGGGAGCTATGGGGCGGTCATATTCCACTCCAGGTACAGAGAGAAGCACGAAAGACCCATCTGCGTTAATTCTTTGGTTCAATAAACATGTATGGATTGCCTCTCCGTGCTAGGAACTCTGGGTCTGCCGTGGTAAAACCCAGCAGATATGGTCCTTGTCCTGATGGAAACTACAGACATATTATTTTTATTATTTATTTATTTATTTTGTGGTACGCGGGCCTCTCACTGTTGTGGCCTCTCCCGTTGCGGAGCACAGGCTCTGGATGCGCAGGTTCAGCGGCCGTGGCTCACGGGCCCAGCCGCTCCGCAGCACGTGGGATCTTCCCGGATCGGGGCACGAACCCGTGTTCCCTGCATCAGCAGGCGGACTCTCAACCACTGCGCCACCAGGGAAGCCCGACATATTATTTTAAAAAAATTTTTTAGATTTATTATTTATTTACTTTTATTTTTGGCTGCGTTGGGTCCTAGTTGTGGCACGCGGGATCTGTGCTGAGGCATGTGGGATCTTTCGCTGCAGCGCACAGGCTTCTCTCTAGTTGTGGTGGCAGGTTTTCTCTCTCTAGCTGTGGCCTGTGGCCTCCAGAGCGCATGGGCCCTGTAGTTTGCGGCACGGGGGCTCTAGTTGAGGTGCACGAGTTCAGTAGTTGTGGCACGCAGGCTTAGTTGCCCTGTGCATATGGGATCTTGGTTCCCCGACCAGGGATCGAACCCATGTCCCCTGCATTGTAAGGCGGATTCTTTACCACTGGACCACCAGGAAAGTCCCGCCTATAGACATTTTAAAAAGATCTTTAATATCAGTTAATATTTGACTACAAATTTCGATAAAGGCAGTGAAGATAAAGAGCAGGGGGCTTTGAAAGAGAATAAGGGGTAGTTTGAGAAGCACTGATGGCCTCTCTGAGAAAGTGACGTTTAGGGTGAGCTGTCAGAACATTCGTGGTAGAAGAAACATTCCGTTAAAACAATCTGCACATACTAGACATTCAATAAATATATATTGAGGTGACAAATTATTATCCTTTATGAAATAACTAGACATAGAAGTCATATTAATTGGTCGCCGTAGGTTTGTGGCCATAAACCCTCGTGTGAACAGCATTTTTCAGGCCGCGCAAGCACTGGGACATTTACAACAGAGTATTTATCTGTCTTTACCCTTGGGGTCCCTGAAGGGACTCCGATTCCAGATATTTCTTCCCAAGTATTCCCAGGGTGGGGCTCGTGCGTGCTCTGCATCTTCCTAAGCCACCATATGGTGGGCATCATCTGTTTTTCTCCGAGTGTGTGTAGCTGTGAGGATATTCTTCTCATTTCTTGCCTCTGACGCTCGCTGAAGGCATCCCTGCTGCTGCTGCTTTTCACTAATGCCTGCCCTGAGGTTGCTGGAACCAAGTGTTGAGGGCAGTGATGTCTGTACTGCGTTTGTCCATAATAGCTTCAGAAATTATGGACAAGAATGCCGCTATAGCTTCTGTTCTCAATGTTTAAGTTGATATAAAATCCATAGGGCAGAAGTCCTTAACCGAGGTTCCATGGATGGACTTGAGGAATTTGGGGAACCCTTTGATTTGTACTCATATTTTTGGGCATGTGGGCATTTAGGGGTGGTGAAGTACAGGGGGCAGGAGAGGTATAGCTTTTTAAGATTCTCAAAGGAAAATCTTCACCTTAAAAGATTGGGAATCACTCTGTTACAAGCAAAGGAGGAGAGCTGGAAGTCAACCCATGGCTAGTACTTTACGTGGAACCACCTGTCCATTCAACGTTTGTGTACTGTTACTGAACCATATCTGCTCACTGTCACCTAGGGTGAGTTACTTTCTAGAAGTTTCCTTGGTTGTCATGGAAGGAGATTTCCAATGGACATCGTGACACAAAAGCTTGAATCCAAAGGTCAACACAGCTCAGGTTCCAGTTGGCATCCCAGCTACATATGTATTACATAAATAACTATAAAAATCCTATGTACATATCTTAATTTTTAAAATATATATATGTGTGTGTGTATATATATTTATATATATATATACACACATAGTGACAATCTCCTAGTTCTTGAAAATGTAAAAGGAGATTTTCTCTTCTTACTTTCACCTAAATATAGAAATTATTTTAAGAAACTTACCTTAATTTTTTTAACCTTTTAAGTCATGTATTTTTTTTTTCTGCTGCAATTTTTTCTTAGATGAACTTGACTTTGTTGCATTTCCCCCCTCAATCCCCTTTTTTCTTCTTCTACTTTTCTGCTAGTCTTCATTTAGACATCAATTGTCAAATTCATTTCATGTTCTTCCAGCAGCATGGTTTTGAACCTCTTCATTGGGTAGTCAAATTCCTGCAATTGCATGTGTGGGTATTGCATCCCAGATTCTCTGTGCAAATGACTGAATTACCCATTATTCTTTAGCTATAAACATGTTCAACTATGCTTTTGAGAAACTAAACATTCCTAAAAGTATTTCATACCTCTTCTTTTCCTTAGCTTTAATAATTTGTCACTGAAACCATGAAAAACCGTTGGTTCCAGTGGGAGGGTTTGAAAAAGCACCTTGGAAAGAATATGCCTTCCCTCTGGAAGCTTGAAAGTAACTAGTTACAAATGAATGAATCTTCTATTTTCTTTATGGAAAATTGAAAAGATGCTTCAAGCTGTGTTTATGTTAGATTTGGCATCACACTGCGTGTATTGCAGATACTGCAGAAGGAATCCTGTGTGAAATTACATGAAAAACAGTGGTAAACTGAATTTCATTTCAGTGAGTGTTTTCACAATTTAAATTTTGTTTCTGTTCGGTATTTTTAAAAATATATATAGTTCAGAGCCTTTCCAGAAATGTAACAGAAGGCCAGAGAAAACCACAACATAGCAATGGAGACCGCCCCGAGGTGGATGAGACTTCCTGGGAGCAGCAAAAATACATTTTGCTCTTGATCTTGTTATTCTATCCAGAATTGGTAAACACAAAGCCTTTTCATATTATTTCAGCATCTTCGGAATTTGGGGTAAGTTTTTTCAGATCTTGGATAGTTATGAATGCAAAAAAAAAAAAAAAAAGCAGTGTTCATTTTCTCCTTTAATTCAACGGTATTCACCTCTGGGTTGTGAGATACCAGGCAGTAAGTTCTCAGTTCTTTAGATTCTTTCAATGTCGTTTGTCCACCCTCTGAATATCCTACTGCAACCCCGTGTTCTTTGCTCTTTACCCGTTCTTTCTCTACCGCCCCTAAAGTGTTCACGAGCTACTTGTCCGAGCGGGATGCCTGAGGGCAGCAGCGTCCAGTGCGTGGCCTGGTCATCCCGGGAGTCTCTGCTTGGGATTGGTCTAGGGGCCGCCACGCTGGAAAGCGAGCCGGAAGCTGCGCTGAGGGCCGGGACGTCGCCATGACAACGCCGCACAGCGCAGGGGGGGCGGGGAAACGCGAGCGCGGACGTGCCTGCTCCCGACCTGCTAGGCAGGGGCAGCAGAGACCCGTAGCGTCGCCAGCGCAACGGCGCCGCGCGGCCTGGGGGGCGGGGAAACGCTAGTGCGGAAGTCCCCGTCCCCGGCCTGCTGGGCGGGGCAGCCGAGGCCCCGAGCGTCGCCATGGCAACGGCGCCGCGCGCGGCCGCCGGAGGCTTGGGGAAGGGGGCGGGGCCTGCGAGCTGGGCACCTCCTCCCGTCCCACCGCCCAGCCGGCTCCTCCCACCCCCCGGGCCTGCTGCGAGGCTGCGACCTCTGCGCCCGCACGGATTTGAAACCTTTTTGTGGCGGCGGCGGCGGTGGCGACGGCGGCGACGGCGGCGGCCGCTCGGAAAGCTTGCACGTAGGGGCGCCAGGTTCTCGTTTTTCCGATTTCCCCTCCGGGGTCCCCACACGCGGGTTCTCGGGTGGAATTTTGCGCGGGGAGCGGTCGCCCCGTGGGCGGGCCCGGGCCTCTCTGCAGGCCTGTGGGGCGGGCGCCGCGGGGGCTTCTGGGCGCGGGCGGCCGCTGCTTCGCGGGCGGACTGGAGTCCGGGCCGCGCAGGGCGGGGAGGTTCTGAGAAAGTTGGGGCGGGTCAGCATGTCCGGGTCTGGGCACCTGACGGGGTCGCGCCCGGGTCCCAGGCCGGCGGGAACACTTCCCCCCGCAGCCGGACGGGGTCCTGGGCCCTCGGGGTGAGGGGTGGCCCCCGGGAGGCCCGGCCCGCCGCCGGCCCGCTGGCCACGACCCAGTGTCCCGGGTCCGAGTGTCCGAGGGACGAGGGACGTCCATGCGAGCGGCCTGTGTGTTGAGGGTCGTGCGCCCTTCCTGTTTACAGGTGCGTGGACACGGGGTAGAAAAGGCCGGTGCGGGGGCACGAGCCGCCCCGCAGGCCTCAGGCTGCGGCCCAGCAGCCCCCCAGCCGTCACTGGCCCCCCCAGGCCTCGGCGTGCTCCCCCGTCTCCAGGGTTATGCCAGGGCGCGGTCAGTGTCCGGTAACTGTCTAAACACCCAAAAGGGCGAGCCGGGTGAAACAGGCACCTGTAAACCGGCTTCATGTACCGGAGGACGGTTTTCAAGTTTTGTGTAATGATCCGCCATCTATTTAAAGTATGGTTTGATTGAACAAAATTGACTTCATGCAACTTTGAGGAGTGTGTTTATTCGGGGCCTGATGTATGTGAGGTGTGTTCCTTGTTGAGCGGTGTGGCTCCTTTTCCGCAGGACCTTTAATGTTTGTGGCCCGCTTATGCTCTGCTGACCCCTATGACAGCGAAGCACCTTGAGAAGGTCTTAGCCCGTTTTGTAGCTGTCCACATAGACACAGGTTTAAAAAAAGACAGTGCCGGTGAGTTAAATAAAAGACATGAGCCAACTATACTATAGCTATAAGCAAGACTCACCCAGTTTACTTCCTTTTTTGCATTTGCACTAATTTATGTGACTGGCAGGCACGCTCTAAGTATTTTAAACCTAAGTCAAAGATACAGCTTTCCTTATTTTTTAATCTAATAATTTAAATCTGCAATTCTAATAAATCGTAATAAAAGTTTTTGATTAGCTGGGACTAAGTAGATATAACCTACTTATAAGATGTAATTTCTGTAGCAAGAATTCCTTGAAAGTTTGGAACGATAACTTAATTTTTTTTTCATTTTGTTGGAGAATAAATAAGGGATAGGAAAAGCTGAGTTTTAGCTTTTACCAAGTATCACACTGATTCTTTATAGTGCTTTTAAAAAAAATGTGTACTCCAGTATTGCATGTTATTATAGCAATTATGATCGTCTTTCTATTTTTCTCCAACTTCTTTACTAGTTGGAGATATTGCTGATTTATATTTAAATGGCCAAGAGGTCAGATATGATGGATCTGAGAGCTAACGGTTTCAGAATTTTAGTTTGAGCTTTATGTTTAATTTCACGACTTGGGGTCTTTTTACTGAGTTTTCGTTTCTCTAAACATTAACATCGCCTGCGTGTGTCAAAGATTTGTTGAGAATTAGTGATTATTAGGAATCTTTTTGTCTAGCTACAGGTGCTCTCAGGCATATGTTAGAGTACGTGGGCAGGATGAACTGTTTAAGCCTGGAAATACACTTCCAGGTCAAAGCTGTGCTTAAAATTCTGGGTTTATGAGTTTCCATTTGTTTGTTCATCCACTTGCTTTTCAGCTTTATGATCTAACATCCAGCAGTGGTATCATAGCCTTCTGTTACCAGGTACATAACTGATGGAGTTATGTATGAATGCAGCTAGTTATTGTAGGAATGCAGAACAAAACCACGCAACCAAATAATGCCAAGCCAACTAACCAATCAGAAAATGCGCTTAAATAAAATTTATCTTAACCAAGTCTTGAATTTGAAATATGTTTCTTCTACTGTAATGCAGAAGGTACAACGACCGGTTTTGGTAAATAGAATTAAGGGCAATAGTATTTCTATTCTAGGGGACCTATTTGGTACTCAGAACAGAATTAAAAAACAAAACAAAACACAGGCATACCTTGTTTTATTGTGCTTTGCTTTATATGCTTTTGCGTTTTTTACAAATTGAAGGTTTGTGGCAGCCCTGCCTTGAGCAAGTGTACCAGTGCCATTTTCCAACAGTGTTTGCTCATTTTGTGTCTCTGGGTTACATTTTGGTAATTCTCGCAATATTTCAAACCCTCCACCCCCGAAAAGGTTACAAATTACTGAAGGCTCAGATGATGGATAGCTTTTTTTTTAGTAATAAAGTAATTTTTAATTAAGGTAAGTATGTACATTTTTTTACCATAATGCTATTGAACACTTAATAGACTATAGTATAGCGTAAACATACCTTTTATGTGCACTGGGAAAGCACAGTGTTCATGTGACTTGCTTTATTGTGATGTTTGCTTCATTGCTGTGGTCTGGAACTGAACCTGCAATATTTCTGAGGTTTGCCTGTATTAGGCATGTAAAAGTAAGACATTAATCCCTTTAGTTATTAGCTTTTATTTACCAGTCGATTGATTCTTCAGCTTCTATTATGTGCCGTGTAATGTGCTAGGTACCTACTAAGATGTGTCAGTCACGGTCTTTGCCTTTCAGGAGCAGCTCACAGATGGTGGCAGACCTGTAAATAGTACACAGATGTGTAAAAAAGAGGTAACAGCGTGATGAATGCCGTGGCACAGATGTGAGCAGTACACACTAAGATGGAGAGATGAGTCTGGGATGTGTGGGGCAAGCTCTAACTCTGAAGTGATGTTTGAGTTGCATTTCTTGATGACTCCATGCAGTGGGACAGCCTGTGTGATCCTGTAAGGGCTTGGAGTGTTTGCAGAATGGCAGGGAGTTCATCTGTGCGCGTGTGTGCGTGTGCGCGCGTGTGTAGGGAGCTCAGAAGGCAAAGGCCCTGGCAGGCCGGCCTAACTTTGGGTTTGGATCCTGTCCCGTGGCAGTGGGCGGTGGAGACAGGAAGTGATGTGCGGAGCTTTGTACTTGGGACATCTCTGGTGCCAGTGAGGACTGAAGCAGGGAGAGTTAGGGTGAGTCGGCGGTGGGGAGGGCTTGCTCTGAGAGAGTGGCGGTGAGAATAGGCACACAGGCAGGTTCTGAGACCTTTCTGAGCGTTTGTTGCTGTGTTGGCTCACGGGGCTTAGCGAATGGGGACGGCGGAGGGGAAGGAGTCAGTGTGAAACAGCGAGGAGGCCCCTGACGGTGATGGAGGTCTCGGCGGCAGGGAGGACGGTCAGTGCTTCCGACGCGGGGGCGGGGGCGAGCACGTGAGGATGTGCTCCCGAGGAGGCGAGTTGGGCGGTGGAGGGAAGAGCATGCCGTTTTCCTCCCAGGAAGAGGTGAGCTTCCCACGTGGAGAGTCAGCGGAGCTGCAACGGCTTAGGGGTTTGGAGAGGGCTGGTAAAAGTTTCAGGGCTGCCTTGCGGACGGCGAAATGGGAGAAAACGGAGGATTCCGGTGGGACCTCAGGGCGGTGCCCGTTTTCTCCAGCAGACCCTCAGCTGAGGAGCGAAGGACGGTGTCGAGCGGTCGCTGTCGCTGTCGTGCGGAGTAGGGAGGAAAAGAGGCCGATCGGCCGGAGGGCATTTTGGTGGGCGGCAGCGATGCAGGGGGAGCGCTGGGTCCGGCCCGCTGGCGGGGGCCTCATAAGAGGGGCGTTGCGGGCGGGCTTGCGAGAGCCGTGGCTGGGAGCGGTAGCGTGGACGTCAGAGACTGCTTCCCTTCCCGGCACGGCTGCCTGCCGGCGCGGGGGGAAGATCCCCGGCAGGGCTCGTCGGGCCCCGAGGGAGCCGCCGGCCCACCGCCGCGAGCTGCGAGGGACGGCCGGCGGCCGGACGCGGAGGGGCCGGGTCCAGGGCCGTCCGCGCAGGGGCTGCTGGTGTTGAGGTGGGCGCCCTGCTGAACGTTAGGGGCCCGCTGAGCAGAGGGAGGGCGTCTGTGGAGCAGGGCCGCCGCCGAGGCACACCGGAGCCTTTCCCCAAACGTGTGGTTTGTAAACCGGCCAAATGACAAATTGGGGACCGTGCATAGCGTAGAGATGGTGCGCATCCTTACCAAGGCATTTCGAACCTGAGAGGAACATGTGGACTCTTGGGTATATTTTTAACGTAAGAAATTTTGTCAGAAGCTCTGTGTCTGAGTTTGGGGGTCCACTCCCTTCATTTTCAGTGGTTTTCTTCCTGATTAGGAAGAAGTACGAGGACCAGTATTTTACGTTTTTTGATGGAAGTTAAACCTTTTACATTACGTACGGTTAAAATCGCTTTCTTGGTGTTGCAGTGTGATGAATTTTTACACAGACTCAGAATGGGTTTTTATGACCTCGGGCGCAGAAGGCGCGGGACAGTCGCAGCGCCCCGTGTGCTCTCCTTGCGCCCCAGTGCTACCCCAGTGCGCCACCGAGCTGTTCTGTGTGCCTGTAGCTTTTGCCTTTTCGGGGATGCCGTACGAGTGGGTGTCGTCGTACAGCACGCGGCCCTCCGGGAACGGCGCCTTGCGCGTCGCGTCCTCGCGCATGGACGCTCATCCGTGTGGCGGGGCCAGTGGGCGCTTCCGTCCTCTCTCTGCCCGAGCGCTGTTTCGTTGTGTGGCGAGGCCACGGCGGTTTATCCATTTCCCGGGGGAGGGACACGTGGGTGTTTCCAGGGTTTGGTGGCTATAGAAGAAGAAAGCTGCTAGAAACATTACATCCGGGTTTCTGTGCGAATAGAGATTTTGCTTCTCCTGAGTAAATGCCCAAGAGGGGGATTTCTGGCTCCTCCGCTACGGGTATGTTTAACGGGGTGGGCGATGGCTAACCTGTCTTCCTGAGTGGCTGCACCGCTCTGTGCTCCTCCCAGCAATGCGTGAGAAGGCCTCTCGCGCTGAGCCCTCAGCAGCTTTGGTGGTGTTTGCCTTTTTAATTTTAGCTGTCCTGATAGGCAGGTAGTGATATCTCATTGTGGTTTTAATTTGCATTTCTCTGATGATTAATGAGGTTAAGCATCTTTTTCACGCGCGTACTTCTCAACTGTACATCTTCTTTGGTAAAGGAACTAATTTTTTTTGCTGATTACTTTTATTGGGTTGTTTGTTTTCTTATGGTTTAGTTTTAAAAGTTCTTTATGTATTCTTGATATAGGTCCTTTCTGAGGTAAATGATTTGCAGTATTTTCTCCCAGGCTGTAGCTTATCTTTTCAACTCCTGGAAAGAGTTCTTTGCAGAACAGAAATTTTTCATTTTGATACAGTCCAATATATCAATTTTTTCTTTTACAGGTAGTGCTTTTAGTGATATATCGAAGAAATCCTTGACTAACACCAAGTCATGAAGATTTTCGTCTATGTTTTCTTCTAAGAGTTTTATAGTTTTACATTTTACACTTAGGTCTGTTATTTATTTGGAGTTAATTTTTCATACAGAGTGAGGTTATTTGTTTAAATTTATTTATGCATATGGATCCCCAATTGTTACAGCATCGTTTGTTGTAAAAACTATCATTCCTCCATGAATTGTACCTTTGTCGAGTGTCAGTTGTCCATATTTGTGTTGGTCAATTTCTGGACTCTCTAGTTTGTTCCATTGGTCTATGTGTCTTATCCTTTCACCAATACCATATTGTCTTGACTACTGTACTTTTATAGTGCATCTTAAATCAGGTAATGTGAGTGTTCCAAACTTGTTCTTCTTTTTCAGGATTGTTTCTGCTATTCTAATTCCTTTAACTTTCCACGTAAATTTTAGAATCAGCTTGTGTATATCTACAAAGAATACTGCTGGGATTTTGATTGGAATTGCATTAAATCTATAGATCAATTTGGGGGTATTTAATAGTACCTTTGATCTCTTTCATGAGTTTTGTAGTTTTCAGCATACAGATCTTAATATTTTAATTTTAAATCTTTTACAGGCTGAATTATGGAAATGGGAAGCGAAGAAGAAAAATGGGAGAAGCTGGATGCGGAATTTGATCACTTTGTGGTAGATATGAAGCCCTTTGTTCTAAAATTACCCCATAGGTCAGGTAAGATTATGTTTGAAAATTACGTTCTTAAAATTAATTTTTTTCTTTGTATTATTTAGTCAAACCCATGAACTTTCAAAATGAAAAGTGGATTCATTTAATAACAGTTTTCATCTTAAGCTGATAAAGGATTGTTTACCTTGAGCTGTTGGAGGGTAAACAGAAATTTAGTCATGGTGAACTACTGAACTGTGGAAAGGTATTATTACTGTGAGACCACTTCTCACAGGTCATGAGCTTAAATTGCATGGGTCTTTAAAGTTGGCTGTAACTGTTTTTTCCTGCGTCTTTTTCCTCCTACCATGAAGATGGTTCTTCTTTCAGGAGCCTACTGTCCACCTGTCTCTGACCCTTTTGTTTATCAAAGCAGAAAAGAATCTGTTAGTCTTACATGCTCATTGGTTGACTGACTAAAATCAAGTGTAAATGCGTTTTTGTTGGCATCTTGTCTGCAATTCCTAACCTTTTCTCCTCTGTGAGTCTTTGTCTCAAGTAAAAAAGGTTTATCAGAGAGCAGTTGAAGAGAGTTTGAGGGGCAGGGAAGACCCTCTGAGTCATAGTAGGCATAAGGCTGGCCGTAAAGGTAAATCTGATTTGGGAGCTTTTGCGAGGAGGGTTCGGAGTGGGACCAGGAGACGGGCTTTTACCCCCGTGTTGTCCAAGTCCCCTGTTTCTGTGAGGTGTCTGAGTCAACTTCATATTCAACATGAGGAGCCGACTCAATGTTAGATCTTTATTCCAGGGAGCTGCGCTGGGAAGAGGGAGCGCAGTGTATGAGTTACGCGTTCTGTGGTCACCCATCGTACCAGGCAGGGCCTGCAGCCTGTCCGAGTCCAGGGTGGCTTGGCATGGTCTTCCCTTCACGCCTCTTCCTCTGCCTTCTTCTCTTGCCTTGTTGGATGGTAACCTCTTCTTTCTTCTTCTGCTTTTCTTAAAATGAATATTTCCTGTCCCGTGGCTCATTCACGATTAGTTGAATTAGTATTTAATGATATTTCTATACTGTGTCCTCTTCTGATACTCAGTGCCTTTTTTTCCTTCTTGTCTTAGATCTGCTGATTAGCATAAGTGTATATTAAAATCTCTCATTATAAATGTACTTCAGACTATCCTCATAGTTCATCTTTTTTTTTAAAGATGCAGTATCACTTTTTAAAAATTAATTTATTTATTTTTGGCTGCATTGGGTCTTTGTTGCTGCACATGGGCTTTCTCTAGTTGGGACGAGTGGGAGCTACTCTTCCTTGTGGCGCGTGGGCTTCTTGGGGTGACTTCTCATTGCAGTGGCTTCTCTTGTGGAGCACGGGTGCTAGGTGCGCGGGCTTCAGTAGTTGTGACTCGCGCGCTCTAGAGCGCAGGCTCAGTAGTTGCAGGGCACGGGCTTAGTTGCTCCACGGCATGTGGGATCTTCCCGGACCAGGGCTCGAACCCATGACCCCTGCATTGGCAGGCAGATTCTTAACCACTGCGCCACCAGGGAAGTCCCTCATCTTCTTTTAAAAAGGGATTTGGGGTACATAGAATTGGATTAATTGTGATCTTTGGTTCATGACTCATTGTCAGTATGTATTGGTACATCCCTGACCCTCTTTTATGTAATTAATTCATAATGAATGCTCAGACACTCACATCCCAGTCAAGAACCTGAACATTCATAATAACTTAAATTTCATTATAGTTAAATTCTACTTTTGATAATGGTTTTCGCCATTATTTTAAATAGAGGAATTAATTTTTTTCGCTAGCTGGATTGTTGTACTAAGTTCTATTCACCGACTATTATATGGATCTCAGTTTGCTGCGGGGCATATAAACATATAGTTTGAAAAACTGTTTGCTTAAGTTTATCCGCTTTAGTTTGTATTTTCTTTTTGCACAAAGTACACCTGATATTTCAAGAAGTTTGTTTTGTGATTATATAATTTTCAAAGCTAAAAATACAAAAGTTATTTAGAGACTACCTTTCATACATGTAGTGATAAATCCAGTATGAGCAAAGTGGTAAATCTGCCCCAGGGATTTTTGTAGGTAAAACAATAAATGAATATGACCTTTAGAAACTAAGACATTGAAGCAGATTTATGATTTGTGTTAGATATATAATCCTCAAATTGAGTTAGACTGATAAAAGATTAATGTCAAAATGGTTTTCCTGAGACCTAAAAACAATTCTGTGTCGTGGTAAGATAAGATAATCAATAGGTCATTATATGTGGATTAAACTGTGCTACATTTTTAAGGTAGCTTTTAAAGGGATAATTATTTTTCAAAATTACATGTAAATATGTAACCCTCAATTGTTTTTAGAGAGGTTAAAAGAAATTCCTAAATAAATCATCCACAAATCCCTGAAGATTACCAGTTTAATAAATAAAACATTTGAGATTCAATTTTAGATTAGGTTTAAAATGCTAAATAAGATTGCATTCTCTCTCTCTTGGTTTGTGTAATGAGAATTACAGAAAGATTTTTCAACACAACGGAAATTATTTTAGAGATGGTTTTACAGCAACCTTTTTTTTTTTTAAACATCTTTATTGGGGTATAATTGCTTTACAATGGTGTGTTAGTTTCTGCTTTATAACAAAGTGAATCAGTTATACATATACATATGTTCCCACACCTCTTCCCTCTTGTGTCTCCCTCCCTCCCATCCTCCCTACCCCACCCCTCCAGGCGGTCACAAAGCACCGATCTGATCTCCCTGTGCTATGCGAACAGCAACATTTTTGTCTCAGATTTATTTGGTAGCAATCCTGAGATCTTATTACTAGTTTAAAGTTAAACTCTAGACCAGGGTGGGTTGGCAAACTGTAGCCCCTGGGCCACATCCAGGCTGCTGCCTTTTTTATAAAGTTTTATTAGAAAACAGCCATAACCATTTGGTGACGTGTGGTGTGAATGGTGTGTGGCTGCTTTCATGCTACAGCGGCAGAGTTGGGTAGATATCATATGGCTGCAAAACCTAAAATATTCGCTGTCAGCCAATCCCTGCTGCAGACTAGAGCAGATGTTTTATGGGTCTTTAATGTAATGTTTTATTTTTTGAAAACTCAAGTCTCTAACAGCTCCTGTGTATTTCTAGAGCGGCAGAGGTGTGCACTTTGGATTAGAAAACTGTGTGAGCCTTCAGGAACAGGAGCAGGGGTCACAGGCAGGAGGAATCGGAATCTGTACGCAAAGCTCTTACTACACATGCTCAGGCGAGGGGCTCTCGAGGGCCCTTTCACTCACCGCCCTGAGCCAGGGACGCTGAAAACTTTACCTTCATACATGGTAGGTGTCTTTGACCAAAAGATGCATTCGTTTGTTTCTCTAGAAGTGTCAATTTATCATCCCATTTGGGAATGGTCATATTATTAAGCTACAAGTCCTAGAAAATATGTTAGCTAAAACTATTTTTTTGCTCCCTGATTCAGTTTTTTTCCACCTTGAATGGAAATCAGATATTGAGCTCTAATGGAACCATACTTAATTGATTTAGTCATCCTCCAGTATTCTACAATATTTCTAAAAACATTAAAATGAATTTTTAAATATTGGGCCTTAATTTTCCACTAATTTTCACTGGATTATGTAATAATTTATGGATGTCAGTAAATTCTAGTTTATTAAGCTCTTCTGTATGTATTATTTAATGTAACGAGAGGTTGGATTGAATTACTTTTTTTTAAAGTTTTTTAGAAAAATTTATTATTTATTTATTTATTTTTGGCTGCGTTGGGTCTTCGTTGCTGTGCGTGGGCTTTCTCTAGTTGCAGCGAGCGGGGGCTACTCTTCGTTACGGTGCGCAGGCTTCTCATTGTGGTGGCTTCTTTTGTTGCAGAGCACGGGCTCTAGGTGCACGGGCTTCAGTAGCTGTGGCACGCGGGCTCAGTAGTTGTGGCTTGCGGGCTCTAGAGCGCAGACTCAGTAGTTGTGGTGCATGGGCTTAGTTTCTCTGCTGCATGTGGGATCTTCCCAGACCATCGTGTCCCCTGCATTGGCAGGCGGATTCTTGTTTTGTTTTTTTTATTATCTTTTGGCTGTGTTGGGTCTTTGTTGCTGCACGTGGGCTTTCTCTCGTTGCGGCGAGTGGGGGCTTCTCTTTGTTGCGGTGCGTGGGCTTCTCATTGCGGTGGCTTCTCTTCTTGCAGAGCACGGGCTCTAGGCACCCGGGCTTCAGTAGTTGTGGCACGTGGGTTCAGTAGTTGTGGCTTGCGGGCTCTAGAGCACAGGCTCAGTAGTGTGGTGCACGGGCTTAGTTGCTTCGCGGCATGTGGGATCTTCCTGGACCAGGGTTTGAACCCGTGTCCCCTGTATTGGCAGGCAGATTCTTAACCACTGCGCCACCAGGGAAGTCCCAGCCCATCTATTCTTTTTTTTTTTTTCTTTTTTTCTTTTTGCTGTACGCAGGCCTCTCACTGTTGTGGCCTCTCCTGCTGCGGAGCACAGGCTCCGGACGCGCAGGCTCAGCAGCCATGGCTCACGGGCCCAGCCGCTCCGCGGCATGTGGGATCCTCCCACACCGGGACACGAACCCGTGTCCCCTGCATTGGCAGGCGGACTCTCAACCACTGCGCCACCAGGGAAGCCCCCATCTATTCTTAATGACCGAAGGTAGAACATTTTCTGAAACACATGCAGATGTTGAAATATGAGTGTATTGTATCATGCTTTCCCTTTCACACTCATTTTATGGAATTGTAGGAAAGGGCTTTATTTTGCTAATGTTAGTAATGTAAAGGCCTAGAGACCTGTCTTGGATTTTTCATCTAGCTTGTGGGATACTGCAGGATGACCAGAAACTTTTATTTCTGGTTTTTATTGATTTTGGTTTCTCTGCCTACTGATGTGTGTGTGTGTGTGTGTGTGTGCGCGCGCGCGCACGTGCAGTGTAGTTAATGATCACAGAAAGAAATAGGAGAGCACATGATTTAAAAAGAACTTTTCACTTATCTTTTCATACAGCTAATATTCCTTTTGTAATATAAATCATTATTATCAGATGTATCTGTCATGTAATTTTATCATTTATCAGATTTCTTATACAGCACAACATAACTAAAATGTAAATAAGTTATCCATTTTATGTATTTTAATATTTCATTGAATGATACATTTTTATATATTTTTATGTAATTGAATTTGAGTATTTGAAAGGTTGTCACTAAACTTGATGGAAATCTTAACTGATTATCTCATATAGTACATTTTGAAAGAATAATTTTTCTAATTTTTAAAAATCAGTCCATCTATTTTGATGAACCAAATCCAGCACAAGCCAAAGGATTGTCCAGCCCAGAAGGATTACCAGACTGGGTGATGGGCGAGCTGGGGAACGGTGAGCACAGACTCAGCGAGTCACGGACGCTCTCTTCTGGAGAAGATTGCTCTTTGGTACAGTCGCCGACCCATGTCCAGAGGTACGCCATGAACTTGGGGTTTCAAGTGTGTTTCATTATTTAGCCCATCTTTGGAACTGGTTAGTACATTCCATTTTTCCATGTTTTTTTTATGGTAAGCAGTTGGTTTACTTTATATTTTTGCTATGAAGTTGAGGGCTGTGAAGGAATGTATAGTTAAAATAACAGTTTTGCTTTTCCATTTGTTGTATATTCAAGATTATAGTATGTTTTTAGCTGCTTTTTGGATATATGTTAAATATTTCTATCTAGTCCACTGCTTGGAAAGTGGTGCCTGAAAATCTTTAAATGACACAGTTCTCTGTTTCCCTTTATGACAAGCGTGAATTAAGGACATTTCACTGACTTCAACCAAATATAACATCCTCCATATCCATCTGGAAGCTTATGCTTGAACTTTTGTCCTTCCCCCTCATTGAACAGTGTTCGTTTTGATTTAATAAAACAATGAATGCAAACATAAACCCTATTAAACTGTGCTTTCTTACTAGAGTACTAAGCTTAAATAGGATTTTTAGTACAAATAAACGTGAACTTCTAAGTTTGTTAAGTACACAATAAAACAGTTGTTGTAGTATGACTTTTGGCCTTTAGGACGGGTAGATTGAAATTGGACTTTTATCAGATTTTGAGTTTTACCTTTGGCATGTTCCCTGAAATGTTAAAGTATTGGACAGTGTCAATTCATACAGTATTCCTCACCATTCTCTTGGTAATTTTAATTTTTGGAATTTGAATAGGTTATGGATATGTAATCTTTCTTTTCTGCTATAATTTTTTTTGGTTTATTCCTTAAAAGATACAGAAATCTTATTAGTAATTTGAAGTGTCTTCGTAGTTGATATAGTCTGGTTATGTTTTTCAGACCTCAGGTATTATGGTGGAAAAGAACAGGTGAACAGAAAGCAAGAGATCCAGTACATATGAAATTTTTTTATTAGAAAGGGGAAACAAATTAATATGGAACAGGAAGAGGTGATATAATTAAGGACATGTTTCGGAAGAGTGAAAAGGAATGAATAGATGAGTCCAAAGCAGGTGGTGTTAAATACTAATTTTTGCCTTCCTAGGAGATTCAGAAGCAGAAGAGGTGTGACTGGAATTTTTGTTAGCTGTGTAGCAGTAAGTTGGGGTGTAAGGAGATTGTGGTCTCGTTACAGAGACTGAGGCAGGGACAGTGTTCTTCCTGTCTGCACGGTATTTCCAGTGCCTGGCCCTGGGTGGGCACCTGTGACCAACGGTATGAGTCTTAGTTTTTGGTGAGTGCCTACATGAGTCAGTGAATGGGCTGTTAGGCACTGCCACACATTGAATTTATTCTGGACACAGCCTCTTTGAGGCAGGCATATTGTGGCAGAGAGAATGGCTCACAAGGATTTGCAAAAAGTACTGTTAGAAAAAGTTAAGGGAAGGATAAATTTTAGAAGAAGTTAAGGGATGTGTGGTTATAGGCTACAGAGATGCCCTGTTTGTGTCCTAACCTTTTTATATTTTTAACAATGCAATTAGTAAAGGCAATGAAGGAACTGGAAAAGGCAAGTCTCTTTCTAGTCAAGTGTTAGAATTTCACTAAGGCCAAGGCCAAGTAGGGCTGCAAAAACAGAACTTCTCAGGGGTATCTTTACTTACATGCTTCTCTTAACTTAACTTGATCTATTTAAAAATTTTAATTTGCATGTACATTAATTAACAGATATTTGTAATTTTATGTACATGAAGGCATTTAAAAGTAAAACTAACATTTACTTCATCTAAAGGCAATACAATTGATTTAAGACCAGATACAAAATGTGTGAGATCAGATCAGTAGTGGTGGTGGAATCTGTTGATGGTCTGTCTTCATATTTTTTTCTGAAGTTGTTCCTTTGCTCTGAGTGGTCATGCTGTGCTGCTGAAAAAGTTAGAATCTGCTCGTGTTGACCTAATACACCTCCTCCGTTCTGCAAGGAGTTGTTTAAAAAGTGTAAGAGGCTTATAATATTTGACACATGTATGTTTTTGTAGTGAATAATTTATTGTTACTTAGAACTGAAGTTTAATGCTGCCTCATAAATGTTACAACCACTTCAACTTGTCCTTTGAACATCCTCTTTAATCTTAAAAGATTTTCCCCCTTAGTGTTTCTGTTTTGATCACTTTATAAAATCCTGCTTTACTTAGACCTTTTTGTATGTGAAGTATTTCTCATGGCATTTTAGATTATGCTGTTTGTGTCCTAGCCTTTTTATATTATTAAAGATGCAGAGTCCTTCTGAAGCCCCTTTGTTAGGACCCTATTCAACAGAGACGGCACCTGCCCTTTACCTTTATTCTTCCTGTAGGATATGGCATGCAGCCTCATTCTAGACACATTAGAAGTATTACGAGGTCATATTCTGTCAGGCTTATTATCATGCTTTTTTCCACCAAATACACATTGCACACTAGTAAACTTAGCATTTCACTTCAGACAGTTTCAACACATAACTAGTCCTGTCCTGGTTTTATCCTTTTTCATAGTTCTTGGTGTAAGCTTATGTTATTACCCATGGTTTATTTTATAAAAACCACTTTCCAAATTGCCTTGCCATTTTATTAGAGATCTTTTATTGTATTTAATGTCAAATAGCTGCTTCCTTTCTTGACAATGAAATACTTGAATTATATTTGAACTTGGAGCATGGTTTTACAAAATGTTACTAATGAGACCATAGACATAGATCTCCTGCCTGTACAGTTTGGTTAATTTCATTTAGACAACCATGAGATACATCCATATAAATGACTTCCCAGTCATCTTTCAGGTGCTTACCATTGAGAGATGGTAAAGATCCTGATTGTCTTTGTGGTACACAGAGTTTCAGGTGGCCCTGAGATCCTGCTCTGGGTGTTGACAGCCTTGTACAGTCCTTCCTCCTTGAGTGTGGGCAGGACCTGTGAGTGGCTTCTAACCAATAGAGTATGGCAGTGGTGATGGGCTGTCACGTCCATGAATACATTGCGATACATAAGACTCTGCCCTGCTGGCAGACTGGCTCTAGAGGCTTGCTGTCTTTTCCTTGCTGGCTTGAAGAAGCAGGCTGCTGTGAAGCCCATATCCAGAAGGAACGGAAGCTGCTGACAACCGTGACAGTGGGGAAGCAGATTCTTCCCTCATTGAGTCTCCGGATGAGAACCCAGCTCTGGGCAAACCCTGATTGCAGCCTTGTGTGGCCTTAAGCAGAGGACTGAGCTCGGCTGCACCTGCACTTCTGACCCACAGAAACTATGAGAAAACGTATGTGTTGTTTAAAGCTGTTATGTCTGTGGTAATTGGTTATGCAGCAATAGATGACTGATACAGTTTTTATCCTCATTTTAGAAAATTATACAGTCTATATATGATGCACGCTCTTTGTAAAAACCTCAGTGTAGAACTATGAAGGGTAAAAAGAGTCCTTCCCTCCATGTTCTTGCTTCACTTCCCTCACGAGAGGTAGTTGGCATCAACAGTTTGGTGTGTATCATTCCATAGTACACACATACCCACACGTATGTAATTAAAAATTATAGGGCTTCCCTGGTGGCGCAGTGGTTGAGAGCCCGCCTGCCGATGCAGGGGACACGGGTTCGTGCCCCGGTCCGGGAGGATCCCACATGCCGCGGAGCGGCTGGGCCCGTGAGCCATGGCTGCTGAGCCTGCGCGTCCGGAGCCTGTGCTCCGCAACGGGAGAGACCACAACAGTGAGAGGCCCGTGTACTGCAAAAAAAAATAAAAAATAAAAATAAGTTGGCTTGTACTACATGTATTATTCTTTTGTCACTTAACTGTGTCTTAATCCTGTGTCATGTAACCTGTGTAATCTTTTTCATCACAGATAATAATCCATAGCATAGATTTACTGTAACTTACCCGTCTCGTTGCTTTTGATTCTGTAGTGTTAAAAGAACGCCTTAGTTAACTTCCTGGTGCATATATCATCATGCGCCTGTGTGTGTTTGGGCTATTAGTGATGCTGTAGCTGGGCACAGTAAAACATTTAATGGGTGAGCTGTTGGTGGGATTATTAGTAGGTTCAACACCTTGTGCAATGGTAACAAAAATATATGGGCTAGTATGGAATGATCTCTAAGATGTATAAAGTTCAAAAGAAGTACATAAAAGTGTAGTAAGCTTCCATTTGTGTGTGTGTGTGTGTGTGTGTGTGTGTATTTTAAAGAGGATATATGGATACGTATGGGTACGCGTGCATGGAATATTTCTGGGTGCCACATACGAAGCTGTTTTACCTTTAGGGAGTGGGAGTAATCTGGTGTGAAAAGTTCAAAAATTTTTTGTACACATGTCTATGTTATTTTTAATAATCACACATTTTTTGATAGATGGTGTCAGGTTGCCTTCCAAAACACTATCTTACTAAAAAGCTTGGGCATACGCACTATTTACAATAGTTACGCACGTTAATAAATCTAACCATATATAGCAAATATACAGATTTAAACATAAGAATGAAATTTTCCCAATGAACAGTCTGTGTTTGTGGATTTCACTTGTATTTCTAGTTTGTTAAAATAGGAACCAAGTGAGGCAAGTTGTATGTTTATGGAGCACCTACTGTATGCTAAATACTCTTCTAGAAATCTTTTGTAAGTTATCTGATGGCATCCTGTCTGTAGTTCTGTGAGGTTGACAAAATTGCCCTTTGTATTTATTGATGAGGTAAGAGCTTCAGTAAGGTCAATAAACTTTCCCAGTGATGGATTCAGTATTGGAATCTAGGTCTTTGTGATTCCAGACCCCATATTCTTTCTGGTGTTCCATGTAGGCATGAGTACTTTATGCAGCAAACATGGAAACTTCACTATAATCCATTTTTTCTCCACTTGAGCTGTGTTAGCAATCTTGGGCGACTATACCTTTGTTCTTGGTTATTTCTAGGTTGAGCTGAAATGAGGCAGTTTGCCTTTGCTCAGATATCACTTCTGACACTTGGCAACCATGTATCCTCAGGCAGCTTACTTACTTTCTCTAAACCCCAGTT